GCAAGGGTGGTTTCTCCAATAGTATTGCTGCCTCTACTTCATGGGCATCTACTTCACATGCTTCTACTTCATGGGGTCAAAATTATGGTTTTGATACTTAGTCACAGCTTAGAGAAAGGATATTGAATAATGCTATTTATACCAAAGAAAAAGTGGCAAATTTAGAGCATTTCGCTGAGCATATGGATGGGTACCTGAGAATAAAAAGTGATTATGAGGAGGAATACAACACAGCTATGGAGCATCTCAATAGAGGTAACCGAGATGTAGTATTTCATCAGTACTCTAGATATCCACCATATGAGCCTACAACTGCTTGGCATAGTGATGATAGTGATGAGGAAGATGATGGTTAGTTGGATTTGTAGTTTTGTTTTCTGTTTTATGTTATTTTTTTTATGTATTGTGGATTGTGCTGGTATTTTGTACTTATTGTTTTTAGTTGAGACTGTTGATAATATTAGTTTTAATCATTGTGTTTTGTAGACATTTCTGTGATGTATTTGTACTTTTGTGTAGTTACTATGTTTGTGTGGTAGTAACTATGTTAATTGTGTTGTTTGGTGTATTTAGTTAGTGTTTTTTGAACTTAATTCAAAATCTTGAAAAAGTATAAAATTTAAATAACTTTCTAATTATGAGCTGCATGTTAAAAAAATTTCAATTTACTAGGAGTTATTTTTCTTTGTGTTGCTATTGTGTTTGTTTGCCAGTGTGTTTATTTGCTTTTCAGGTATACTCCACTGCATAGAAGTCTAATGAATCTTTTTATATTAAGAAGAAATAAAAATTTGATTAATTTAATTTTCTACTCCTATTTTTACATTTTGTACTTGCATATTTTGGATATGAAAATTCTTGCAAGCATTTTATAGTTAGTTTTCAATCTTGCTTTCATATATGATGCTAGATGTTTTATTTCTGTTAAAAAATTAACTTTAAGGGGGGGGGGGGAAAATTTTAAAGAAACTTGAAAGTTTATTTGTTCAGTTTATTGGTTCTCAATTGTATTTCAAATAAATTTAAATTTTTACTTGAAAAATGATTATGTATAGGAGATTATATTAGGGAAGTAAAATTTTGATTTTGGAAATGAGTAAAAAAATTTAGTTAAAATTTATATTAATGAAGAAAATTTTAAAGTTAAACATTTTTAGTGTAGAAAATGCTAAATATAGTGTAACTATCCTTAGTAAGAAAAATTGTATTTTTGAAAATTTTAGAAATTTAGATTTTTTTAGATAACACTTAAATTTCTTTTATTAAAAATAATTTTCAAAAATATTCTTATATTTATAAGTGATAGATTTATATTAGGGCTTTGCTTTAGGAAAGGAGAAGTGGAATTCAAAACCATTAAAGGCCTATCCATATATAGTAATCCTTGTCTGAAAATGAAAAAGAAAAAAAAAGAAGAAAAAGATAAAGAAAAGAAAAAGAAAAGGAGGAAGAAAAAAAAAAGAAAAGAATAGGAAGGAGAAACTTGAGGATTAGTACCTAATCAAAAATTGGTTCCACATTTGATCTTTTTAAAGTATAAGATTTGGGAAACTCTAAAGCTTAAAAATATAATATAGTAAGTAAAATTATTCTTAATAAAAATTTTTAAGTGGAAATAATAAAAGGGCTAACTTCTATATTTGGAAAATCTACAATATTTTTGAATTAGATAGAAACTAATATTTTCAAATTTCTTAACATTAAAATGTTCTAAACATTAAGTTGGTCTCATTTACTAATATTTTTTATAAATTGGACTACTATATTTCTAAATCTAAATTTTAGCAACTCCTACTTTTCTTAGTTTTTAAAGATTGAAAGGTCACTTGAGGACAAGTAACATCTTATGTTTGGGGGATTTTGATACACCTAAACTATAGTGTTTTGTACATATTTTTATACCTATTCTTGAAATGTTGTGCTTTAATGAAAGGTATGTGTGTATTTTTATTATAGGTACAATCAAATGGATGGAAAATGCTAAAAGGAGTGAAAAAGGGTCAAATTTGGAGCAAAATTGAAGAAAGGTGCAAAAATGAACTGGGATGCCTAAGCGCGAAAGCATCCGCGCTTAAGCTCCACGTACTTCACGATTAAGCTCCAAAGTTAGTTACTTGAAGAAATGTTAATTGGAACAGAATTTTGAAGAGGTGTTTGAAGCAACCCTTAATAAAAATGTGGGAAATAGGCCATCAACACAAAAATTCTTTCAATTCGCTTTTAAGGAGACAAATTCTAGAAGATTCATTGAATGGAGACACTTTTTGAGGAGATACCAAGGAACCCCTTGGACTTTTATAATAAATGACATAAATTTTCCAAGAGATAGGGGCCAGCAACCAACCACCAAAATCTACAACCGCTGCCGCCGCCGCGGGCCACCTTTACTTAGTTTTATTTTATTTTGAGATTTAGTTTGTATAGTGAGAGGATGAAGAGAATTCAAAGGAACATCAAGACATTTGTTAGAGAAAATTTGAGATAGGTGTTTTTCTTTGTGACTACACTTGGTTTTTAATTTAGATTTCTTCTTTGTGTGCATGTTTTCTACTTTTAAACTCATGTGTTATTGTGTTTTCTCCATGAATTCTGAGTAATTTTTTTTATCTTTTTCCTTAAAATCATAGGTAATTAAATGTTTAAAGGAAGTTGTGTGAAGTATTAGACTTCCATGTTGGACGAAGTTGTGATGATTCATGGCTTTACACTTCATTTACTTCTTGATTTGGCCAATTAAGATGTTAAAACCTGTTGTGAGAACATGTAAGATCCGAGATGGTTTTGTCTCAGTCAAAAAATTGTTGAAATCACATATTGATTTCACGAATGAGAATGTAGTTCATGGGGTTGAGTGCAAATATATAGAGAAATATATTTTCAAGGGTCTATAATTAGAGTACTTTAGAGTGACAAGCTAGAGCCCCCAATTTGATTTATAGTTTTAGGTTTTGATACGAAATGTCAGTCTCTAGGCGAAGGGAGAAGAGGTAACTCTAGAGTGAGAGCTAGTATCTTCCTTGCCTAGCCGATCTTCAAGGATATGCAAATTATAGATTAACCAATGTTTCTTTATAACATCTCTAGTAATTGTAAGGAATATTTTTGCTCCTATTTGGCACAACACGTTTAACATACTTCCACAATTGAATTTCTATGTTTATCACTGATTCATGATAAGAAAAAATATATTATACTTATATTGGCTTCATCATGCAAGTATTTTAGTTAAGTTAATTAGTTGCTTACTTTAATTTCAATTATCAAAAATTACAAAAAGAATCAAACTTTTATTTATCTTATAGCATCTTAAGTTTGAGTAATAAAATTTATTACTAAGTATTTTGTTATCTAAAAGTAATCCTTCATAGGGGTCTATATTCGAGACTTAATTAGAAAGTTAAATATTACTTGATAATGATATGTATACTTGCGTAGTATCTCATATTGAAATATTATAAATATAATCACATACATCGCATTTTACATCTCTATATATAGAAAGTTGGGATCAAAATGCTTCAGCCATGAAGATCACAATATAATAGCCCCGTAGCAGGAAACACGTAGTACTCCACACAATGGAACAACAACTTCAAAGAAATTTGGACTTCATCGAAACCCGGGTAGCCAACCCACTTAAGCATTATCAGGAAGAGAACCTCTGACAAGACCGAAGACCGAAAACAAACCTCTGACCAACAAGCTCCACCCCACCTGGCCGTCATTCTTTCTGCAGAAACCCTAGCAGAGCACAGCCTCCAGCCTCCACCATCTTTAGATATATATATATATATATTTATAACAGGATGCTGGCAACTGGACCCAGCTGTGCTCTGCTAGGGTTTTCACTGTGATGGAGCTGCTTGGAGGTGCTTTAGACCTGAGTAAAGCTTGCTTTCTCTTCAAGATCTCCCTGGGGTTTGTGGTGGTAGTTTGGATTTTGCCCGGGAAGTTTTTGTTTCAAGTTTGTGTTACTGTTCTATTGCTAAAGTTGTTGTTAGCTACTGTTTTCTTTTCCTGGGGTTTTCCCTTCTTTGTTGGTTTTCTTGGGTTTCAGTTCCGATTGATACTTTTTGAGGCTCTGAAATTGCTTCTCTCTTTCTGGTGGACTTTGGTCTTTGCTTTTTGTGGGTTTTCTCTCTTTCCCAGCCTTTG